ATCTATTATTGATTGGTTTGTTCTTTGTTTTAAATAAGATCGAGAGCCAGTCTTCCCTATGTACATGGGAATCAGGGGGCCAGACTGATCCCATGTGATACTGCCAACTCCATCATCACCACCACTTGTGAGTCTGCCTCCAACAGTGTTTTTTTCCAGAATGATGCCTAATTGCTGCAGGGTGGAATCTTTGAGTCTCATAGGAGGTGGAAGGAATGGAATGTTGTGTGGACTTAATTTGGTAAGGGTCGTAAATTCAGAATCTTGACAGAGGGATGAACTTTAGAACTTAAGATCTCTGACCTTAAAAGGCGGGTCAACCTTCTCAAGTGCAACTGTTGAAAAGCCATCTGTATGAATTTTCATCTCATTAAACCACACTCACCTATATTAAGTGTTCTCTCTTAGTTAAGTAGTACCGAGTCAAGAAATCTCTGTCTTCAGTTACCTGACTGCTACTTGTTGCTTTGTCTTTGTAGAGATACAGCTTTAAATTAAGGCTAATATTTGAGTTGAACTAGAATGTAACTGGTACAGAGGAGAAGGGTAGCAGTGACTGTGGGCCAAAGTGGAGCAAAAGTGGCCTTGGGGAGGGAAGGTCACTGGGGAGAGGAGAAACAATGGGCCTGAAAGTGTGGGGCCTTATCAGAGAAGGATTGTACTGCGTCAAATGTGGTCATGAAAAGTGAGGACAGGTGGCCTTCCGTTATCACTACATATTCATACAATACTATCATTCCATCATCCCATGTATGCTTCCGATGTTAAGTCCATCACTCAACGTTTCCCCCAAGTCTTTAACCCCATTATTTATTTATCTTATACATCTCCCTTCAAAGTGTTAGACCTCACAGGGTTAGTCTCTGTAGTGCTTTCACCAATCTCCCTGATCTGGTTCTAACCTCATTCTGAGATTGAGAATGTTCTGCATTCTCTCTTCTGTCCTGTGTGGTGGTAGAGCTTTCAATTTCCTCTTTCTGAGTAATGAGTGCAAGTTTTTAATTTTCATTTAATTATATTAATGCATTATACTTTCTCCAGTGATCCCACAATCTATTTCAATCATGTGTTTTTTCTATTATCATCCCTTTTCTCTATTGGCCTCTTACCCATACACAGTCTCTCTCTTGATTTAAGGTCAGATAACCCTTGTGCTCTGTATCTTTTATTGAAGTTTCAAACTTAGTTGCCCCATTGAACTTCTTCTCACTGTTCCACTTTGTTGTGTTCATTCTCGGTGATGCTAGGTTTTAACATATGAGACGGAAGTATAATCTGTCTTCTCAATCTCATCCTCATTAGAAACTCTGATGGTGATAACCTATTCTGTGGGATGAGGATCGGTGATCTAATAGAGCAAGATTTAGCTCTTCGTTTCTCTTCAATAATATTTTTATTGTTCGCACTCTGCTCTTGGCTTCTCCATTTGCTTGAGGATAGTGAGATGAACTAACATTATGAATCAAGTAGCAATCATGCTCAAATTGTTTAAACTGCTCATTTGGAAACAATGGCCCATTCTTTGATAGAATCATGGACGTTTTCATAGAATCCCTACAGTGTAGAAACAGGCCATTTGGCCCAAAAAGTCCACACTGATGCTCTGAAGAGCATTACACACAGACCCATTCCCCAACCCCCTATTTCCCATGGCTAACACGTCTAACCTACACATCCCTGGACAATACAGGGCAATTTTAGCATAGCCAATCCACCTAACTTGCCCATCTTTGGACTGTGGGAAGAAACTGGAGCACCTGAAGGAAAGCCATGCAGACACAGGGAGAATGTGCAAACTCCACACAGAGAGTCGCCTGAGGCTGGAATCAAACGCTGGTCCGTGGTACTGTGAAGCAGTAGTGCTAACTGCTGAGGCAGTGTGCCACCTCATTGTAACTTTGATGTTATAATGTTCCAAATCTGATGTATTGAGTAAATTCTCTTGTGCATCTGTAGTGAAATACTGCAAATGGTTGACCTCATTCCATTGTGTGTAATAATTAGTTACAATAATTAATGCTTTTCCTTTAAACTCAATCCATTTATAGGCAGGCACTTCTGTAGTCTTGATGGAAAAGTAATGGCATTAAGGCTTCTTTTCTCCTTTAACTGTTGGCAGCACATGGAATCCGGTTAGCAATCATTTCCTGTACAGACTGATACTTGACCACCAAATTTGTTGCATTCTTGCAGGACACTTTACAATCTCCAAATGTTTTGGGTGAATTCTTTAAAAAAACTCAGTCAAGTCTTTCATTGAAGATTAGCAAATCATTAATGGCAGAGAGGTGTTTTTACTAGCAAACAATGCTGGTATAGTGTTGGAATATTGAAGAAATATTCTGGCCATCTTTCCAGACAGTACTTTCGGATGTGACAACATTCTTCTCCCAGTGCTTGGCTTTTTTTATTCTCTTGCAAGTTCCTTTCAAAAACTGGTAGGTGCTTAGTAATTTTTGATGTGTAGACTACAACCTCCTTGAAAAGTTTACCTGTTTTGTTTCATGTATCTCCTGTACATAGACAATAAATTAATCTTGCCTCATGAATCACTGAATCTTGGTTGGCATCTTGATGATTATTTTGTGTTCAGAAGTTAATGACCAGTTTTAATTTTGAAAGGTAGTTCCATTACATAACCTGAAAGCTTTCTATGTATCTATGTTACTACTAAAGCCTCTTTCTTAGTCACAGAGTTCTGCTTCTGTTAGTGACTTAGCCCCATAGTAGATTGGTCTATCTTTCTATTTCTCAGCACTATAATAAGTACCACCCCCAATACTGTAGAAGATGCATCTGCCACTACTACAGTTCGTAAACATGGGTCGTAACATCTCAAGATTTCTGAAGGTAACTAGAGTTGTTTGATTTTTTTAATGCATTTTCCTTGTACGCATTCTTGTTGACGCTGTCTGAAAAGCTGTCTCAAGTACTTGTTACCTTCTGCCAAGTTCAAGAGAACTTCTCCATTTGTTTAGCCATGCTGAGGTTGTGATCAACAATGATTTTATTAGCTTAAAAGATGTGTCAGAAAAATCTTACATTAGGTTTTGAAAAACGGCATTCTCAATATGTGTTAAAAATTTTAATTATGTTGAACATGCATAATTGTTTTGAATCCACAACTATGCTTCTCTTTTGTGGATTCATCAGTCAGTATGCTACTCATTTGGCATACCACACCTTCAAATCTTACAAGGTATTGGACACTGTTCTCTGAAACATTTCCAAAAAAGGTATGAGTCTGACAGGTAATCTCACAAAACAGTGCTCCCCACCACATACCATACATTTAGTCAAATTTCTGGACTTGTCATTAGGTGTGAGGTACTCTTGGTGTTGTTGTATGTGGTGCAGGTCTGGCTACTCCTTGAGCCTGCGCCACTTCATCTGGTGGTCAAAGATGGACTATGTCTGCAGGGACATCATGTATAAAAAAGTCTAGATAAGGGGAGAAAGGTTATAACCAACACTGCCCTCATCCTGATGGTTACCTTTGTGTGCTACTGCATCAAGCTGTGCATAGATCCTTGGTACAGAAGCACCAAGTGTCACGACACACTGAGGTTCTACCTATCCCTGGTGTTGCGAAGCATGGTACTGGTCTCATTGCTGTGGAAAGTTCCAAGTAGTTAACCCATTCATGTCTGCTGTCCCTCATGGAAAACTTTGCAAAGGAAAACAGCCTCGACCACAAGTCCATCAGGCAATAGTCAGCATATAATATCCTCGAGGCTGTGCGAGGAAAGGAGGGTGGTTCCTGTCAAGTGGTTCCCTGACAAAGTCATTTGGCAGAATGCTTCATCATCAGAACTTTTCAGCAAGCACTAAGTTGTAGCTTGGCTGGTGGTGGAAAGGATACTGCCTGTCGGATCCTTCTTGTACTCCTGGAGTATCTCCACCACTGCACACTGCCCTCAAAGTGACTGCAGTGGGCGAGGGGTGTGCTGCTGTTTTGGTAGGATATGGTCACACGTGTCCTTCTGGAATGTGCCTTTGAAAAGAAGGTGTGGAGAGAAATGAAATGTTTTTTTAAAGATTTGTCCCATGCATTTCTGTGATGCAGAATTCTGTTTCTATGGGCTATTGTCTAGAACACACGTGGAGACAAAAATCAACTGCACCTGGAGGACCATCAACTCATTGAAAGATGCTCTTTGTCTGCCTGAAACTTGTTGATCTCAATGTAAAGCATTGACTTAGGCCGAGTTTGCAAGCTGGCACATTCTGATACCCAGTACTACGTGCTGAGGGACACAATAAAGCTTAAAGCAGCTGCCACCAAGGCATAGTGGGGTAAGACCAGCATCTGCCAAAGCATAATGAGGGTCTATTAAGCTCTGAGATCTCCTTGTTGCCTCAAAATACATTTAAATAGTTTCCTGCATAAGTAGAAAAAGCATTTTTTCCAACTACAGTGAAGCTTTGAGAATGTCAAATTCCAATGCGTTGTTTGCTTTTTCCCTGCGAAGACTGTACAGAATAGTTTTGGGACTTTTTGTATGTACTTATAGATAATATTTATGTAGGAAGTATATTTTTGCAATTAAAATAATTATGTTGGGACTTCCAAGGTGTCCCGACATGCATATTTCATGATATGCCCAGTTTTGAATCATGCAGAGATAAGAAAATCTAGGGCTCAGTTAGCTTTTTAAGTCAAGAGTTATCCCTTACAAATCCAGCTCAAAGTTCTTTATGTGCTTAGTCATTCTCTGGAGTCATATATCCAAATAATGTCCCCAAAGGAGAATGTGTTCAGAGTGACAGAAGTGTCAATAGCCAAAGATATATGTAATGAATCTGGAATGCACGGGCTGGAAGCAAATTCAATAACCTTCTGAGGGGAATTTTATTAATACTCAAAGACCAGACATTTGCAAGCTAATGAGGAAAGAGCAATATAGTTCTATCAAAGAGTCAGCACAGGTGTGATGAGTCTCTGAGCTGTGGAGTATTCATCTAAAAAGGTTTTCTGTAAATTCTACTAATACCCAGTATTTAAGTTGCACACCCTCCATTTCTGCCCATTTTATTTTGATTTCTGCATAATTTACAACAGATGACAAAAACTTTAATATTAGATTAGTCATTATTTTGTGTAATTTCAGTGTTTCATTGATGATAATTGATCATGGTGCTCTGATATTTTCTTGCTTGAATTGTCATTAACAACAGTCAACTGTAAATGTTAGTTCATGGATTGATTTGAGTAATATAATGCATATATAAAACAAATTCTGTTAATTTGATCTGATGCTTTATAGACAATGGAGGACCATGTTTCGTCTAAATTCTATTACTTAAATTGATCCTAATGCAAAAACAGCCTTATGACATAGCGTAATATTTGTATTTTACCATCTACTTTGCTATACAGCATGCCACATATTCCATGGCTAAACACATCAGCCCTGAAATTCCAAAGGGGTTTGCTGATTCTCCCATTCTATCTCCAGCTGGAGACCAGCTATACCTCCTAAAATATAGAAAGACACTGTCCAAATAATTTTCTATCAGTTTTGTCCTAAATTTCAGCTCCATGATTTTCACCCTCTTGGAACCTAAGAATTTCAGTCTCAGTTTATTTATTGGATGACAATATTGCTGGTTGACTTCACGTGCTTCCTTATTCATCTACAGATCCTAAGTTCTGAGAGAGTTTAGTATGTGTTGAATGAAGCATCAACCTGAATGAATACAAACAGTAGCACAATTGTCAGGCTAGAAAAAGGTTTGTTTTGTGTAGAAAGGCTGTTATGGGATACAGGAAAGAAAGCTGTAGCAGGGTGTTCCAAGGTTTACAAGACGCCAAATTCCTGATAGAGGCTGACAGGCTTGCATCTCATTTATGTTTTCTTTGTTTTATCAGTTAAACCTGCAAATGAACAAACATAAATGCATGGTTATTCTTTTAGAACTTAAAAGTAGGAGTCGGCCATTCTCCCCTCTAACCAACTCCACAAGTCAAATAGATCACAGCTGACTTCTACTCTAACACTATTTACTTGTCTTGATTCCAGAATCTTTATTTAACAATGAAAGATTTCTATCTCAATTTTGAAATTTTTAATTAACCTTGCTTCAATGGCTTTGAGAGAGAATGTTCTGGACTTTTATTTATCTACATGTGAAAAGGTATTTCCTAGTGTCATTTTGAATGGCCTAGCTGTAAATTTAAGCCTGTACCCTCTAGTTCTGAAATCACTAGCAGAAGCTTCCATCTATCCTATCCAATTCTTTGATCTCCTTAAACATCTCAAAATCAACTCACCACGAATCTTCTATACACAGGGAATACAATTCTAATCTATGCAACATCTCCTCATAACTTAACCATATTAGCTTTGGTGAGTCACACTTTATCCCCTCCAAGGATATCACATCCTCTTCGTGGGGTGATGTCCAGAATAAAATGCAGATGGTGACTAACCAAAGTTTTATACAAGTTTTTGCATCCCAGTACCCTAGCAAACAGGGCCTTCATTTGATCAACATTTTGAATTATTTTCTATACCCGTCCCCTCTTTTTTTGCCGATCTCTGTATATTGACCAAAAACCTCTTTCTTCTCCATAGCTCTCAACATTTTACATGAAATTGAGGTTTTATGTTTTCTTCAAAACCAGAAACTACAATGAAAATGCAAATGATCTGAACTGTAGCATTGAGATAAGACTTTGAGACTTGTGATTCAGAATTCCAGGCTAATGGATCAGTGACAGAAGTTCATATCCCACCACAGCATCTGAAGGTATTTAAAATTCATTTAATTAATCAAAATGGATTAAACAACTGATCTCATTAATGACGCCCATAAAACTACCAGATTAGTATAAAAACCCATCTGTTCACTAAAGCCTCCCAAGAAAGGAAATCTCTCTCCTTAACTAGTTTAGTCTACCTGACAAAAGGACTGACACCAATGTGGTGCCTTAACAAGACACTTAATTGTTTCAAACTGATGAACAAAAGCTGAATAAGAATAAAATTGGATAGACCCACCAAGCAGCGACCTAGACACTGGAGACAACCAAAACAAAAACAGAAGTTGCTGGAAAAGCTCAGTAGGTCTGGCAGCATCTGTGAAGAAAAAAAAATCAGAGTTAACGTTTCGGGTCCGGTAACCCTTCTTCAGAACCAGAGACAACCAACCCTGCAAAATCCTCCTCACTAACATTTGGGGACTTTTGCCAAAATTGAGACAGGTGTCCCACCACAAGTCAAGCAACAGCCTGATCCAGTCATACATTATAGCCAATGATCCAGATTCCTTCATTACCATTCCTGAGATGGCCGTTATGTACTTCAAGACTAGGCCAGTTCAGTCAGTAGTGGTACTGAGAAAGAATGTGGATGTCCAATGAGATATATATTCCCCATTACCTACCTCCAGCATCTGTCACTGTTTGGTGAAATGTACTGAACCCTTATCTGCAGGATGAACCAATAATTATGGTTCTAAGATCGAAGAAACTCTTTTGCTCCTTCTGTACCCTGCAGAGGTCCTTTCCAGGGACAATAATGGGATCTGCCACTGGGGGCAGGTTATTCACTGTGGCTGCTGACCTAAGGTGGCAAACGTGGATGTAGAAGAACCAGGAGTGATGACAGGCAAGGAGTCATGCGGTGGATGAGGTGTTCCCAGCTCAGGGAGAGGGTGTAGCTGAAGGGACCCTCAGAAAGCATAGTCTGTACAGGTGGTCTAGGGTTTTCTGGCCTAGACTTACATTCCTTGGGATAAGTGAGTTGCTGTGCTGCGCAGGCTCCGTATGTCCTAACACATGGTGACAGAACTGTGCTGAATGCTGGAACGAGACTCAGCATTGCAGGAATGGGAGGCCAACCTCTCTGTGGCTGTGAAGGTCACTGCAGCACTGAACCTCTATGTGACTCAGACTGATGTGTATTCTAGGTGGGATCTCTCAATCGTGCTCCCACAAATTCGTCAGGACAGTAGCTGTGCAAGGTGTATGCCAAGTCGTACTGGTGTATTTCATTCCCCATGATGAGGTCAGGTTGTAACCTTGGCTGTAGAATTCAGGAACACTGGTTTCCCCCAGCTGTAGGGTGCCATGGACTGTAGCCATGGCATTCAAAGGGTCAGATCACAATGTTGTGGAATTCACACCAGAAAGGGGTTCTGCTCCTTTAATATTCAGGTGATCGGCAAATTCTATTGGCACCTCCTGGATGTGTGTGTCCTCTACCCTGGCAGCTGCCACAGCTCCTCCATTCTGGAGCACTCATGTACCTGGTACATTACAGGGTCCTGGAGCACAAGGGCTACCCACTGCAACCATTGCTCATGACACCATTGTGCAACCTTGTGACTGATACAGAGCTCTGTTACAGTACCACCCATGCCTCAGGGCCAAGGTGGAGCAGAGTATAGGGCTGTTGAAGATTTGTAGGGGTTGGGGGGCGGGCTGGGGGTGGCAGTGTGGGTCTTCAGTATAGACTGGACAGAGTGTGCAGCATCATCTTGAGATGCTGTACTCTACACAATTAGAGATGGATGATAAGGAACTCTGGGGCAGAAGCAGTCTTCTGCAGAAGGGGACATTTTCCATGAGAGAGCTCATTTACAATGAGCATTTTACATGGACAGAACCTCAATGATATCCAGTTCCAAAGAAGAGAGCTGAGTGTAGTAAAATATCGTGGACTGTAATATTTTTTAAACACGATGCAGTTATCATTATGGGGGTGAAGATCAGGCTATGTTGGCTTCATTTCTGCTCCCCTTTCTTATCTGTAGATAAAAGCCGATATTTGTGTTTGTAATTGTCTGATTGGTTGCCTGTATATGATGTTCCCCTATTGGACAATGACAAGATACAGGTCTACAGTGGGCATTAGGATAGGGTAGAGCTAAATTTAGAGGGTGTTCAGACAGGATGTGGCTAGGTACCAGTAAAGTGTATGGCGTGGTGGGTTAAACAGTGACAGGGATGACGAATGGGATTGTGTGTGCAAGGAAGTGCCAGCCATTTTGTCTATGAGCCATGGATGGGATAGATTTGTGGCTGTTGTCGCAGGACATTGCTGGTGAGGGGCAATGCTGGAATGCCAATGCTCGTCAAAGATGGCACGAGTATAGGAGGTGTCAGTCTTTGGGCAGGCATCCACTGAGTGCTAAGTTTTTCTGGGAATGATAAGTAGTAAAATGAGGCAGAAGCTGGACATGAGTGATGCCATATGGGTGGAGTAAATAGTTAATGTGGAGAGTTAGGTAAGATAGTGAGAGATAACTCTCTAGGCCTCATGGCAAAAAAACTTTCCAAAAAAAATTGACACAACTCAGTTAGCCAAAAAATGATTCAGCCCTCTGGTTGATAGCAGAAAACAATCTTCCATTCATAATAATATGTTACACCCTACAACATGAGCTTTTATTTTCCAAAATAATTTTTGTTGTGCTACCTTCTCAAATGTCTTCTGGACTTCCAAATACAGTACATCATGTTTATAGGCACCCCGTTCGCTCCGTGGGGAGAGAGGAAAAGTGGAGTCGATGGGGCCAACTGCTGGCTTGAGTCACATCAAGCATAAAGGAGGATAGTTGTGGTTTGATCAATCATTGCAGGACCTCACTGAGGAGCTCGGAATTCCTCAGGATAGTGTCCAAGGCCAAATCATAGAATCCCTACAGTGTGGAAACAGGCCCTTCGGCCCAACAAATCCACACTGACCTTTGGAGCATCCCACCCAGAACCATCCCCCTATTACCCATCTAAGCTCAACGTCCCTGAGCACTATGGGCAATTTAGCATGGCCAATCCACCTAACCTGCACATCTTTGTACTGTGGGAGGAAACTGGAGCACCCAGAGGAAACCCATGCAGACGCGGGGAGAATGTGCAAACTCCACACAGACAGTCACCTGAGGGTGAAATCGAACCCGGGTCCCTGGCGCTGTGAGGCAGCAGTGCTAACCACTGAGTCACCATGCTGCCCCCATTGAGCCACCGTGCCGTGAAGAATCATCTTCAGCTTGCTTCATCAATGGCTTTCCCCCCATCATAAGGTCAGAACTGGGGATATTCACAAATGATTGCACAATGCTCAGCACTATTCATGATTCCTCAGATACTGAGGTTGTCCTTGTTCATATGCAGTAAGTAATCATGTCACACCATTTCCAGGTAATCGATACTTCCAAAAAGAGAGAATCTAACCAACAATCCTTGACATTTAATGGCATTACCATGGTTGATACCCCCACTATCAACATCCTGGGAGTTACCACTTACAAGAAACTGAACAGGACCATAGGATAGAAACAGGCCTATAGGGAGAAAGAGATAACAAGGTGTAGAGCTGGATGAATACAGCTGGCTAGGCGACAGAGGAGCAGGAAAGCTGACGTTTCGGGTCTGGACCCTTCTTCAGAAATGGGAGAGGGGAAGGGGAATCTGAAATAAATAAATAAGAGAGAGACAGAGAGAGACAGAGAGAGGAGCAGATAGTTGGAGAGAAGATGGACAGGTCAAGGAGGCAAGGATGAAGCCAGTACAGGTGAGTGTAGGTAGGGAGTTGGTCAGTGAGGAGGGAGGGGCAGGTAGGTGGGAGGGAAGACGGACAGGCTGAGGAGGCAGGGATGAGGCTAGTAGGTAGGAAGTAGGGGTGTGGGTTGGTTAGTGAGGTGGGAGGGGTGGATGGGTAGGAGAAAAGACGGACAGGTTTAGGAGGCGGGGACAAGGTGGTCTGGTCTTGGGATGAGGTCAGGGGTGGGGAGATTTTGAAGCTTGTAAAGCCCACATTGAGACCATTGGGCTGCAGGGCTCCCAGGCAGAATATGAGGTGTTGCTCCTGCAGCCTTCAGGTGGCATCGTTGTGGCACTGGAGGAGACCCGGGATGGACATGTTGTCCAAGGAGTGGGAGGGGGAGTTGAAGTGGTTTGCGACTGGGAGGTGTTGTCGTTTGTCACGAACCAAGTGTAGGTGTTCCACAAAGCGGTCTCCAAGCCTCCGCTTGGTTTCCCCGATATAGAGGGGGCCACATCGGGGACAGTGGATACAATATACCACATTAGTGGATGTGCAGGTGAACATCTGTTTAATGTGGAAGGTTTTCTTGCGGCCTGGGATGGAGGTGAGGGGGGAGATGTAGGGGCAGGTGTAGCACCTCCTGCGGTTGCAGGGAAAAGTGCCAGGGGTGGTGGGGCTAGTGGGGAGTGTGGAGCGGATGAGGGAGTCGTGGAGCAAGCGGTCCCTCTGGGAGACAGAGGGAAATATACCCTTGGTAGTGGGGTCAGACTGCAGGTGGCAGAAGTGGCAGAGTAACTCATCTCTGCACTCCACAAGCCTGTCAGGAGTGTGGTGAAATACTCCTCACTTACCTGGATGAGTGCAGTTCCAACAGCATTCACAAAATTCAACACCATTCAAGATAAAGCATCTAATGGAATTGGCAACCTCTACTATTTCTTACCCTTACTCAACAACTAACTCCTGTTTTGTATATGTTGCTCTCAGCACAGACAAATCCTTTTTAACTATTTACACTTCTCATTAGCATTCTACTCAGCATTTATCTCTCTTGGCTTATCAGCAAGTTCATGGTTTACTTATCCCTCCTCTCTCTCTCTGGCTCTCCATGTACCCTATTCAACACACGCCTACATGCACATACACCACAAGTAAGACCCTTTCCCGGCTACTTTCAGTTCTGATATAGCATTGCTGGACTCTGTGGATGCTGCCAGATCTGCTCAGTGTCTCCAGCACTTTGTTTTCTTTTCATTGGATTGCCAGCTGATCTAACACCTTCAGCATTATCTCCCTCCACCACATTATCCAGTAGCAGCAGTGTATACCATTTATAAGACGCACTGCAACAATTCACCATAATTTCTTAGAAGCACCTTCCAAACTTCTGACATCAGTCACTTAGAAGGACAAGGAAAGCTGTTACATGGGAACACCACTTGCACATTTCCTCTGAGCAACACATCATCCTTACTTAGAACTATATCTCCGTCACTGCTCTTCCAGTATCGCTGGGATGAAATCCTGGAACTGCCTCCTTAACAGGTCTGTGGGCGTACCTACATCACATGACCTGCAACAGTTCAAAAAAGCAGCTTACCACCATCTTCTCAAGGGCAAATAGGGATGGGCAATAATTGTTGACTTAGCCAATTACATATATATTCAGTGAATGATAAAAGAAACTCTAACAGTGAACAGGTAATTTTAGACCTTTTAATGTATAGTGAGAGAGGACTATCAATGACTCATAACATAGAACCTTCAAGATAGAGTGATCACAACATTATAGAATTTTTACATTCAGTTTGAGCACAAGAAATGTGGGTCTTAAGCTACTGTCTTGAACTTGATTAATGGCAATTACAAAAGTACAAGGTACACTTTTTCTAAAGTGAGCTGGAAATTTAACTTATAATGTCAGGTGGTAGTGAAGCAATGGTTAACCATTTATGGGATTCTTCATAATTCTATTAATGAAGGAAGAAACAAACAAACAAACAGACAAACAAACAATGAGAAGAATGCACCATTTGGACTAACTAAAGACGTTAAGGATAGCAACAAATTGAAAGAAAAGACTGAAGATTAATGGCAGGCCAGAAGATTGGGAAAATTTTAGAAACCAACAAAGAATTACTAACAATCTCCTACAAGTAGACTCAAAAGAAAACAAAAGTGACTGCAGCAAACATTGGTCCCTTGTTGGTGAGACTGAGGAATTCATAGTGGCAAGAAAGGAAAAGGCAAAGGCAGAGACTTCAAATAAAATGTTTATATTTGTCTTCACAGTGGAAGGCACAAAAATTACGGCCAATAATAACACAAAATCAAGAGGCAAGAAACTTGAAACAATAATGATCATTAGAGAAAATGTTCAAGGAAGAGAATAGGGTTACAGGCTGATAAGTCTCCTGAACCTGTTGACTTGCATCCTACGGTCTGAAAGGAATTATGTGAAGAGATAGTGAATGTAATCTTCCAAAGTTGATTCCGGAAATGTCCCAGTGAATTGGAAAACTACTATTTAAGTAAAGTGGAATAAAGAAAGCAGAAAGCTATAGGCCAGTTAGTCTAAAACCTGTCATTAGGAAAATGCAAAATTAATTAGCAGGTCACTTAGAAAATTGTAATATAAAGAGTATAATCTAGCAGATTGATTTTGGGAAAGGGAAATCATGTTTAATAAATTTAATAGATATTTGGAGTATGAAATAAACTGGCTGAGTTAAAAGAAATGAGTCAATGTAGTGTATTTGGATTTCTAAGAGGCATTTGATAATGTGCAACATGCAGGGTTAGTGCACAAGATAAAATCTCATTGTGTTGGAGGTGATATATGAACCGGGAAAGAGAATGCTGAGTAGGAAACAGTCAGAACAAATGAATCATTTTCAGATTGCCAAACTGCAACTGGTACATCATTGCAGACTCAATCTATATTAATAACTTTTGAGAAGGGATCAGCTGTACTGTAGCAGATTGCTGATGATACAAAACAGTTAGGAAAGTAAGTTGTGATGAGGATACAAAGAGGGTGCAAAGGCATTTAAATATATGTTAGATGAGTGAGTAAAAATGTGGCAGTTGGAGTGTAATGTTTGAAAATTTGAGATTGTCTACTTTGGTGGAAAGAATAGAAAAACATATTTAAATGGACAGAGATGCAGAATGCTGTCTGTACTAGATGATTTTGAGTGTCCTTGCACATAAAACACAAAAAATGTAAGTACAGCATCAGAAAAACCCAATAAATGAGGTAGATATACTTTTGATACATACTTCTAGAGCAGGTGTGATTAGAACCTGGGCCTTCTGAATCAGAGGTAGGGACATGACCACTACATCATAAGAGCCCCCTATAAATCATCTTGTACACTTTGTTTTCCATTGTAGTTACACCCATCAGTGACTTCCTTTCCCTTCTATTCCTCATCTCCACACAAAACAATTCTACATCCAGACCTCCTAAACAAAAATTTAAGTATTGTACTCATACGATCCTTAGCTATTGTGCTCATGCCATATACTTCCAACTTGAGCTAGCATTGTGTTCTATTTGAATGTCATATATCCCTCAAAATTCAGGACCCAATCTTTGTTATTCTGTAGACATAGCTCATGATCAGATGTGATCAAGTCATATTTATTCACTAATATTTCACTATCAAATCATTTACACTAATGGATGCAGCACTCATTCAGTTTGCAAGCAGTTAGTCATGTATTTTTGACATCTTTGTAACATCTAGTCTTTATTGTTGTTGTATTCTTAGGTGTTTTTCATCTCTATCCCTTCTTGTTATTCTCTGATCCTCAATTTACAAACTACCATTATTACTATTTTCCTCTTTGATCTTGTCTCATGTTTTCGAAAATCCACATCTTTCCATGTTTGATTCCTCACCCCTATTTTTCAGTTTCAAACCCTCTCTATTTCCCTAATTATGTGGTTTGCAAGAGAATACTAAACCATCCCATGGTCCAGCCCTCACATTCCCCGAGTATTGGTGCCAGTGCCTCATGAACCAGAACCAACTCTCCCACACCAACCTTTGAACTACCTATTCATTGCTCTAATATTATGTACCCTATGCCAACTTGCATGCAGCCAAAGCAAGAAATCTGAGATAACAAGGTGTAGAGCTGGAAAAACACAGCAGGCCAAGCAGTATCAGAGGAGCAGGGAGGCTGACGTTTCGGGCCCAGACCCTTCATCAGAAATGGGGGAGGGAAAGGGGGTTCTGAAATAAATAGGGAGAGAGTGGGAGGCGGAAAGAAGATGGATAAAGGAGAAGATAGGTGGAGAGGAAACAGACAGGTCAAAGAAGCGGGGATGGAGCCAGTAAAGGTGAGTGTAGGTAGGGAGTTAGGAAGGGGATAGGTCAGTCCAGGGAGGACGGACAGGTCAAGGGGGCGGGATGAGGTTAGTAGGTAGGAGATGGGGGTGGGGCTTCAGGTGGGAGGAGGGGATAGGTGGGAGGAAGGACAGGTTAGGAAGGCAGGGATGAGCTGGGCTGGTTTTGGGATGCAGTAGGGGGAGGGGAGATTTTGAAGCTTGTGAAATCCACATTGATACCATTGGGCTGCAGGGTTCCCAAGCGGAATATGAGTTGCTGTTCCTGCAACCTTTGGGTGGCATCGTTGTGGCACTGCAGGAGGCCCAGGATGGACATGTCATCTGAGGAATGGGAGGGGGAGTTGAAATGGTTCGCGACTGGGCGGTGCAGTTGTTTAGTGCAAACTGAGCGTAGGTGTTCTGCAAAGCGGTCCCCAAGCCTCCGCTGGGCTTCCCTGATGTAGAGGAAGCCACAACGGGAACAGCGGATGCAGTATACCACATTAACAGATGTGCAGGTGAACATCTGCTTGATGTGGAAAGTCTTCTTGGGGCCTGGGATGGGGGTGAGGGGGGAGGTGTAGGGGCAGGTGTAACACTTCCTGCGGTTGCAGAGAAAAGTGCCGGGTGTGGTGGGGCTGGAGGGGAGTGTGGAGTGGACAAGGGAGTCACGGAGAGAGTTGTCCCTCCGGAAAGCAGATAAGGGTGAGGAGGGAAAAACGTCTTTGGTGGTGGGGTCAGACTGCAGATGGCGGAAGTGTCGAAAGATGTGTTGGATCCGGAGGTTGGTGGGGTGGTATGTGAGGACAAGGGGGATTCTGTTTTGGTTGTTATTGTGGGGAGGGGGTGTGAGGGATGAGTTGCGGGAAATGCGGGAGACACGGTTGAGGGCGTTCTCGACCAGTGGGGGGTGGGGAGGGGGTAAGTTGCGGTCCTTGAAAAACGAGGACGTGGATATCTGAGATGTACGGGAATGCCTCAAAATCTCCCCTCCCCCTACCGCATCCCAAAACCAGCCCAGCTCATCCCTGCCTTCCTAACCTGTCCTTCCTCCCACCTATCCCCTCCTCCCACCTCAAGCCCCACCCCCATCTCCTACCTACTAACCTCATCCCGCCCCCTTGACCTGTCTGTCCTCCCTGGACTGACATATCTCCTCCCTACCTACACTCACCTTTACTGGCTCCATTCCCGCCTCTTTGACCTGTCTGTCTCCTCTCCACCTATCCATCTTCTATCCGCCTCCCCCTCTCTCCCTATTTATTTCAGAACCCCCTTCCCCTCCCCCATTTCTGAAGAAGGGTCTAGGCCCGAAACATCAGCCTTCCTGCTCCACTGATACTGCTTGGCCTGCTGTGTTCATCCAGCTCTACACCTTGTTATCTCAGATTCTCCAGCATCTGCAGTTCCTACTATTTCTGAAAGAATTCTGAGTTAATAGCTTTTGTAGCAGCATGCTTAATTTAGTGCCTAAGTTATCATACTTCCTACACAGAACCTCTTTCCTAATTCTATCTATGTCATTCATACCTACATGAACCATTAACACTAGATACTCTCGCTCCCACTGCAAGTTCCTATCCAGGCCTGAGCAAGTGTCTGAAATCCAGACAGGTAGTGTAAGCATCTGGACTGTAAAGGATGGTAGGTTTTCTATGTCAACTTTCACGCACTCTCTGTGGAAGGGTCACTGGAGCCAAACTGTTAACTGTTTTTTCCTTCACAGATGCTGCCAGACCTGCTAAGCTTTTCCAGCAACTTTGCATCCGCAGTTCTTTTGGTTTTCACTCACTCTCGTTAGTTAACTGAAAATTCTAGCTCTGCTGAGGCCATGAATCTCAAACCACTGACCGCAAAAGCTGATTTGAGTAGCTGAAGATCTACACCCATGTAACTTGTAATCATGGGAATGCTACCGAAGAATATTTACTTACCCCAGATTAACAAAGTGAGCTTCTCTCCCAGAAGATATAAAAGCAACACCAACAGAAGACTCACTGAGAAAAACAACACCAGGCCTAGTCGATTAAATAGACCCAATAGGGGGTAGACCCATGCGCCAGCTGCATAGTAAATCCACAGAACCCTATATTAAAAAAATAATACATTCCATTTTACTGAATTAAATTATCAGAAAGTTGTAACTGATTGGAATGTGTGTGAAATAGAGAGGAATCAAAAAAGAACAGTCATTGCAACATTGTGATGGGATTAGAAATTTGTCTTATTTCAATTCTGATACTGGTGCTTTTGTTAAAATAATGTTTGCTATGTTCCATCAGTAAAGTTACAGATCAAAGACCATTGTTTGAATTGGGAAGAACAATTTGTGCATTTTGTTAAAGCTGTAGGTACTAAATATAATAGAAACCGTTCATCTGAATATGATCTCAAAATGAACTACAGTTTAGTATGATAAGGCCAACATAGGTAGGAGCTGATCAAAGTAATTACTTTAGTAATTACAGGATCAAGCATGCACAGTATTATAAATGATCCCCTGGTTGTATAAAAGTGGACGCATAAACATTGTCTAATCATTTAAGAGGGAGTTTAATACTACAATGGGATGGGGGTATTTATGGGTTCATTTAAATGATTAAATAGTTTCTTCCCTCATTGGGTCAGAAAAGGCCAACCAGTCCATTTAACCTGCCGCACATTCATGACTGGCAGGAATACCATGACTTGATACTTCCAGTTTGAAAATTGAGCATAGCTTTCCTCTCATTTTTTTAAAACATCAATTTACTGCGCTTGTGCTCCCAATGCATTGCCCAACAAGCAGCTGCTTTACCCTGAAAGTTATATGTGTGAAGCTGTTGATTTTCCATCCATTGCAAAATAAAAAAAAAAGACTTTCCAAGTATTCCTTCCTGATAGACATTTCCAGAAACAAAAGTTCAAAGCAGAAAATGTACCATAATGCTTAATCTTATTGAACCTAGCTGAAAAGAAAGAAATGGCTTCAGCCAACATAGCAAGGGGCTTTAAACAGACTGAAGTTGTTGCTCATTAGTTGAAGAGTTAGAAATGGATTAAGACTTTAAACAGTGGAACTTTTAAAGAAAATGGTTTTAGAAATGCAGTGGATGTTTCTTCACTTGTTCATGTTCGCGTATTGGTGTACAGTTCTTACCACAGCAGGTATGAAATGGAAACAAGCCCGAGGATAAGAAGTCCTGTTCTTCGTTTTGGATATTGGTGTGGTGTATTGAACAACTCCAACAAGATCAGTGGCAATACTACAGTATGCTGCGATAAGAAAGAAAAGTTATATTTTTCTATTTCATTTAATGATATCATGATGTCTCAAAAGGTTTTACAGCCAATGAAATGCATTTGAGGGGGAGTCACTGTTATAATGTAGGATCAATGGCCACTAGAAACATATAGAATAGGAACAGGAGTAGGACATTTAGCCCTTTGAACCTGGTCCACCATTCATTATGATCATGGCTAATCATCCAACTCAATACTTGCTCCCACTTTACCCCAATATTCCTTGGTCCCTTTAGTTGCAAATGCTATATGCAGCAAATTCTTGATATTATACAATATTTTAGTCTCGACTGATTTCTGCAGTAGCAAATTGCACAGGCTCACCACTCTCTGGATTTCTCCTCATCCCAGTCCTAAATAGTCTACCACATATCCTAAGACTGTATTTCCTGGTTCTAGACTCCACAGTCAGGAAAAACATCCTGCATCTAGTCTGTCCATCCTGTTCAAAATTTATGTTCGAGATCCCTTCCCAACTTCTAAACATCAGTGAATGCAGGCTTAGTCAAACTAATCTCACCACATATGTCAGTCCTGCCATCCCAGTATCAGCCTGGTGAACTTCTGCTGCAGTCTCTTTATGGCAAGTATAGGAAGGCCAAAACTGCACAAAATACTCCAGGTGTGGACTTACTAAGGCCCTGTTCAACTGCAGTAAGGCATACCTACAAATCATCCATGGACAAGCAGAAACGGGGAGGTTTGTTGGGGCCACTGGGAAAATCTAACACAAAGGTTGAAGGATTGCAGTAACACGTTACTGCCTCAGGCATGTGAATTCCTGCTGCCCCCATGGACAAGTTGGTGGCTGCTATATAGATTGCCAGGTCCAGTACACTCAGTGTCCACTGAATAGGCCACAGATCGATATTGCATGACTTTAGCTCAGCATCAAAGCAAAGTAACTGGGGACATGGGACGCTGAGCTCACTTGCGGCTACTCCAAAAGTGGCTGGACTTCTAACTCAATCTCTCTCATGGCTGTGGGAGGTCAGGCCAATGAAGGTGCACTTGTCTCTGGGCAGGACACATTCAGGAAATCTGAACCCGCAGATCAAAATGCTACCAGATCACTTCAAAGCTCCAAGGCTAATGGGATCCATTGTACAACAAGTTCCCTCCAACTCAGCTGCAGACTCTGTACACAGCTCCCACAATTCCCCTAACTGTTTGTGCTGTCCCTACAAGGAGTGACCACCCCTGGACTGTACTGTGACAAACCTGGAAACATTAGCATCCCGAACTGATGACTGACTCTAGCGAAACATTTGGCCTGTTGTATGGACTATGCCTGTGACTGATGGTGCCAAGATCCCCTGACAATGTGCCCCTACCCCTCTCCTGGACTGGACTGAGAAGTCACCCCCAACAGTTTCTGACATGGCCATTTGGTTGTATGAATGTAGTGTGTTTGTGATGCAGGCAGCTTGCACATACTGGAGGTGCTAGATTGGTGTCTGAGTGTATTCACCAAATCTGGGAAAGATCTCTACTTACAAACCTGATGAGAAGCCTGTCTGTGTGTCTGCACAAAAGAGCACCTTAACACAGCAGTACTGAGCCTTTGACTCAGGCTGAAGCACTAATGCACTAATGCACTAATGGGTATGGCATGGCAAAACAATGCAGGTACATGCTAAATGAGTGAGTGTTAAGACAGCAGCTGGGCACCTCTGAAATGCAGCATAGTTCTGTCTGTGAGGTGGATGCCTGTCCATACACGCAAAATGTCTCTGCTGCAGCCTTTCAATGCTGGTGCTAGTGTGCCCTGCAATACAAGTCTGAGCTTCCCAAGGGGCCTGCAAGTGTATCAGCAAGATGCCATGATCATTGTGAGAGGTTAATGAATGCCAAATACCAATGTCCACTGATGAGGTGTATGCATGGCTGGTACCTGTGTCACACGCTGAGCAGCAGTATGATTCAATGCAACACGGCGGCATTTAGGCCAAGCTGAATCTATCAGGACTCACTCTCATTTCCATGTCAAGTTTTTTCAATGTCTTTGCTTCGTGAGTTTGGTAAAGTAGGGAGTTAAATGTTGATGGGGCATCAACAAATTGTCTAATAATCTATAATTCCTCCTTAATTAGCAATTAACTGCTGCCTAGTCAGCAGTTACCACAGCACTTGTGAAAAATGCTGCAAGATGCTACCCGTATCACTGGTCTTCACTGGTCTTCTCATCTGAATCTGCCACAAATCTTGCATAATCCACGTTGCTCAGACTTCCGCAAGAATCCGCTCGTTTATGTTGTTATGAATGCTGGGCAAATACAGAAATAGAGCCTTTAGCTTTCTTTTTGTCATCTTTAGAACATTCAGTCTTGATTGTTGGTATTTCTTTTTCTCCCTTTTCGACCAAGGGAGGGTGATGGCACAGCGGTATTAAAAGTAGACAATTAATCCAGAAACCCAGGTTATGTTCTGGTGATCTGGATACAATCTTCCTATGGCAGATGTTGGAATTTGTTTTCAATAAAAGAAAACAAGTCTGGAATCGAGAGTCTAATGAGAGTATGACATTTTCAGGGGAAAAAAATCCATCTGGTTCACTAAAGTCTCTCAGCGAAGGAAATCTGCTCTCCTTACCTGGTCTGGCTTACATGTGTCGCCAAACCCACAGTAATGTGGTTGACTCTTAACTGTCCTTTGGGCAATTTGGGATGGGGAACAAAAATGTTAGCCTAGCCAGTGATGCGCACATCCAATGGATGAATAAGACAAAAACCCCACATTTCCTATATTACTATTTTCCTCTCTACATCCACAATTATGTAGTTCACAGGAACTCTGGTCCCAGAACAGTTCGGTTGTGGGCCATCTGAAGGGTACAGTCTCCACATTTCCCAGTGTTGGTGTTAATGCCCCATGAACCAGAACCCACTTCTACCACGACAGCCTTTAAGCCACATATTCATTTATCTAATGTTATGTATCCCATGACAATTCACACACAGCTAAGGTAAGAATCCTGAGACAATAACCTTGTAGTAGTGCTTTTTAAATTTTATGCCTGGCTGATTATATAGTGTCTATGCAGAACCTCATTGTTAGTTCTAACGGTGTCATTGGTACTACATGGACCATTACCACTGGATCCTCCACCTTCCATTTCAAGTTCCTTTCTGGCTCTGAGGAGCTGTCTCTGTCACTGGGCAGGCACTACAGTGCTCTAGACTCATGCTTTGCTGCAGATTGCAGTGTAAATGCCCTTCATCATTCTATTCTGGACTGCTACATTCTTTATTGTTCCCTCCACTTGAATGGCTTCTTGTACCATGGTGCCATGGTCAGTTTGGATGTACACTCTGCAGCTGCTGCTATCATCCAAACAGCCTGAGAAAACTTTAAAAAAACTTAAACAATTGCAGAGGCCAAGACTTTTGAACTACGGTGCTCTGGGATCCTCACCTACCTCACTCATGGTGATGTTGGTTAAGGATGCAATATGAGCCAAACAACCTGGAAGAATTTCTTTACTCTTCATGTGAAATTATGGGATCATTTACAATGTCCTGAGAATGAGGATAGTGTCTTGGGCATAGTATTTCAATTGAAAGACAGCACCATCAAGAGTACAGTACTCCCTCAATACTTTCTCAAGCACCAGTCTAGATTTTGTTCAAGTCTACCATTCTATTCAATCAGATTCTGAAAACAAACCATTATGGTCAGTAGCATGAACTGAATTAGAATGTGGAAATTATGCTTGTGGTTCACAATTATTGCAATATTCAGCAAAATCCTCGTGATTCTGCGCTACTCCAATTCAATCAATCACTATTTCAGGCCAATAAGATGCCCCATGTACAAATAGTACAAGATCTAACATAGCAACAATATTTACTGCTGTGACAAAAAGTAAATTTTCCTCACAACATTGGAAAACTTGTTAGATCATGACATCATTTAGAACAAGCAAGAATAAAAGGCATAATATCCCGATGCTAAAACAAAAGGCCAATAGGCATAGAAACAAAAAGTCAGAGCAGGAGTAGGCCTTTTGGTCCTTTGAACCTGTCCACTGTTCAACATGATGGCAGAGCATCCAACTCAGTACCCTGATTCTGCTTTCTCTCCATATCCTTTGATTCCTTTAACCCTAAGAACTATATCTAACTCCTTTTTGAAAACATTCAATGTTTTGGCCTCAACCATTTTCTGTGGCAGAGAATTGCAAAGGCTCACTGTTGTCTGGCTGAAGATATTTCCCCCTATCTAGGTTGCCTACCCCATTGTAACAATACTATAACTTCAAAGAGATGTGTTTTGCCCCATTTTTTTAAAAAAAAATGAAGAGGTTGATAGAGGTGATGTGCAGATTGTTCCAAGCCAAAAAAGTAAACAGCTTGTGAGGCCTTGGTTTTTTTTTCAAAAGTTGGAACAATAGAAGCAGCATGAATGAGTGGAGTCAGGCTCCCACAGAACAGGGTCTTAGTTTAGCTTTCCGGGTTTTGAAGCTGCCATGTATCTTGCTCAGCTGCCACCAAAAGTGAGAGTACTCTCTCTCTGCCAGAATTTTCCCTTTGATATTCTTTCCTTCCGCCTGGAGAAACATTGCATGTGAGACAATTGATTTCATGGAATCTGCCTTCGCCAACAATGTGTTTATGGGATTTTACTATGTTTTAACAGTTTTTGTTTATTAGCTAAATAATCTATTATTCTGTTAATTTTTCCAATAGAGTTAAAGTTATAACAAATCTTCTTTCTTTCATCTCCATATAACTAGGGGTAAGAATAAAGCATGTTTTGCTGAAAGCTGAGTACTGTGATCAATTGAATTACATCTGGATCACAGCACCTTACACTTGCCTTTAAATAAGATAAAAGTTAGGGTCTAGGCTATCGCATTGATATATTTGCAGGGAGTTTGGTCCATAACACTGTCTCTGGACTGTGACTCCTGGTTCTGGAATGCTTACTCACGGGAACATCCTTCCAGGACTTACCCTACCTAGTCCTGTTAG